TCCTGTCCAGAGGCAGATGGGGTCTATTCCCGCAACCTCTGAAATCGTGGCTGGCCTTGTGACTTGTTCTGACCAACATAATGTGGCAGAAATGACACTGCGTGAGTTCTACATACACCGTTAAGGGGTCCAGCCCTCGGAACACCTTAGGTTCTGATCTTGGGCTCCCGGAACCTGAGGCCACGTCGCGGAGTGTGGGAGAGCGGCAAGAGCGGGAACTCAGGCGCCCCAGCCTGCAGTCGGCACTCGGGGCCGGTGACCGCCACCACGTGGGGATCCGGCGAATCCAGGAAGATCTGGCAGAAGAGCCACCCCGACTGGCAATCCACCAAATCGGGACAAACGAGGGATCATTGCTGGTTACTACCACTGAGTTTGGGGGTGGATTTTCACACAGCAGATGAGAAAGCAGAGCAGATGGTGATTCTTCAGTGGATTATGAAATCAGATTCCGGGGGGGGGGGAAAGGCAGGGTGCAAAATAGAAGGCAGCAGAAGAGAAAACGTAACCGTTCGTGCGTCCACAGGAGTTGCGATTATCTGCTGCTGTGTGAGAAACCACCCCAAAGTTAACAGTAAACGGCCATTTGATGATGCTGCGGTTCCGTGGAGGGGACGTTGGGGCAGGGCACGGGGCAACGGCTCATTTTTGTTTCCAGGGGAGCCCCAGCTTCGGTGGCTCAAATGGTTGGCCACGGCTGGGATGAAATGACTGGGGCCATGTGGCTGGGGCTTTGGTTCGGACTCTTGGGGAGAGATTCTCATTTCATCTCCCCATCCTGTCTTTGGGGATCAGAGGTCCAGTGTGGCTTCCTCAGATGCTGGGCACATACAACAGGTACTCGGACTTCTTACTTAGGGACTGTTTTATTTTTTCTTTTTAATTAAATAATTTGCAGGAGAGAGAGAGAGAGAGAGAGAGAGAGAGAGAGAGAGAGAGAGAGAATCCCAAGCAGGCTCCACACTGTCAGCTCAGAGGCGGACACGGGGCTTGAACTCACAAACCGTGAGACCATGACCCGAGCCAAAACCAAGAGCTGGATGCTTAACCGACTGAGCCCCCCAGGCACCTCTGGGGGCTGGTTTCTGTCGGGCTCCTGATGGCCTCAGTTCAGCGGTCCCTGAGCATCACATCTACATACCCATTTGGTCAACTCCGTCACTGAGGCTGGCCCAGGCTCAAGGGGAGGCCTTAGACTCCACCCTCTCAACGGGAGTTGTAGGGAAGCACCTGCCGCCCATCGTGACTGTGACGTCATCATATGCCGCGTTTCAGCAAGTCTAAGACGTCACCACTTGCAGGACGTGTCCTGAGGTCACACGAATCAAAATGTGTAAAGCAGGGTCAAGATGGAATCGTGATGTGTAGCATGTGTGTGATGACTTGTGGCAGGAGATGTGTCTCCGCTGCCGGGTGCGGCTCAGAGTTCGAACCCGGGCTACGTTACGTTCCAAAGTGAGGGCCAGGGAGCAGTCCGTCCAGGCTGAGACCGTCTATTGCACGGAGGGGATCCCTAAACAACTACTAACGTTTTCCATTCTAGAAACTTCTGCACAAATACCAAAGGAGGATAGACAGTAAACCCTCGTGAATCCACCACCCAGCTTCCACCAGTATCAACCCACACGGTCAGTTAATGTTTGACGCATACCCCGACCTAACCCAGGGCATAGAAGTCGCAGAGGTTGGGTTAGTTCATGTGTAAATACCGGGCCATACGGTGGCACCGCGAGCCCTTTCTGTTGTAGTCCTAGCAATCCATGCGGCTGAGCAATAAATAATGCTTTATTGCCTCGATGCCACGAGATAAATCTGAGATGGATGGGCCGGGGCCCTCACTGAGCACACAGGAGCTGGTAGGGAAGCAAGGGGAGGAAATGGAAAGATCAGGAGCACACGGGGTAGGGAGGGGAGGAAGAACCAGAGCGGGGCAGCCACGGTTGGTTTCCCCGGAAATAGTGTGCATGCTGTGACTGTGAGCAAAAAATTAAAAACAGGGAGGCACCGGGAGGGCTCAGTCACTTGAGCTCTGACTTCCGCCCAGGTCATGATCTCACGGTCCGTGAGTTCGAGCCCCGCGTCGGGCTCTGTGCCGACAGCTCGGAGCCTGGAGCCTGCTTCGGATTCTGCGTCTCCCTCTCTCTCTGCCCCTCCCCCACTCACACACACTCTCTCTCTCT